TTTTTGTTCCACATTGTTTAGAATTACAAAGTTTTGTATTTGTAGTTATAAAGTTTCTTAAAATTTTTTAAATTTTTTTAAATGTAAATTGTAAGCACATGATTTTTTTATTTTATAATCGCATTAAGTTCAATTTCTTATTGTACTTAAAAAAATTATTTTAAAAATATGCTAAAATTATATTTTGTCGCGTATTGTTCCATTATGCCTTCTTCATATTCTTTGTTTATAGTTATTTTTCCAATTTGCCAAGTTTAGAGTTAATGATCTTTCATTATTTGTGCTCGTAATTATGCACTAGTTTCATCAATAACGGTAATCATTCTATTAGCGGCAGGTGGTACATTCGTGAAACGCCACTTCGATTTGACTTCTTTCTCATTAGTTGTCGATTGCATACTACTTGTCTGACCACAATTAGACTGATTTGTTTTAGATCGTGCCAAAGACCATCTGCGTCCACGGCGATCCATAATAATCGGCATCTCAGCAATCAGATTGTTTTCGAATTCTGAGAGCATAAGATAATTCTCAACCTTATTGCATGAAGTTATACAATCCCCTATGTAATCGAAATCCTCCAATAAATTGTCGGGTAAGTCCATGTCAGCGATACCTTCCTCCGAGATGCATGTGAGCTCCGGCTTATCTGTTCCTAAGGCGTTTATTGCTTCACCTAAGGTGGTAAACAAATTGCACTTAGAACTTTATACAATTGTAATATTATTGTAATATGAAATTTATTTTACGCTCTATAATATGTTTTGCATATGTAAACGGACAAACAATATTAATTTATTTATTTGAAAACTGAATATGAGCTGTGAGGAAGAGTATAACCGATTATATATGCAAGTCACATGTAGAATAAATGTTATTTTTTATATATGCATTATTATCAATATAAATTAATATTTCTTTGCTTTTCTATTTCTTGTAATAAAAGAAATAGTACACAAAGTAGAAAAGTAATAATGTAACTCTCTTTTTGTCTCCCTCCCTTTTTTATTTACAAGATTATGAAAAATGTAAAAAGGACAAAAGAAAAAGTATACCTTGTGCCGGAGCAATGTCGGTTCCTAAAACGAGTGCGGCAGCCGTTGCTCCAGCCGCTCCAGCAGCGGCTACATGAGGTCCTTCATTCTCGGGTTCCTGACTGAACGATGGCCTTCGTCGTTTAGGACAGCTGTTCGAAGCGCATGTATGTTTTGTACCATTAGCTCTGTGTTTATGTCTAGACAAATTTCTTCTATGCAAATCGATGAAAAAGAGCGTAAAACTGCCAACCAAGACACACGTTGAACTGAAATAGTAGCCAGCCTTACCACCGCAACCCACGTTTATATATCCTGCAAAAAAGTGCAAGTTTTTGAAATACTTGAGTCATATTTTAGGATGTTTCATTTTCACAAAAAGTGGAATCTTCATTTTCGGATGTTTCGAAGTTTAATCTATGAAAAATATTTGCTGTTTAAAAATGCAATATTTTATCAATAATTGAAATGTGCGTGTCTTAAATAAGATGATATAAGTTATTTATAGAATATTTATACTCGTTGAAACATAAGTTGCTACGTAGTTTCTTTTATTACCTGATATTGGAACTCCAATTGCAATTGGTATCGCTTGGGAGCACTGGACGAAACCCCACGTTCTGGCAAAATTACGTGCTCTCACCCTCTCGTATGTATACATCTTCAAACTGTAATGATAACCACCACAGAAGATACCTACACGAAAACCAATGTTTTTTATTGCTCGTAACATGGCATTAAAGTTCTTTATTATAGGAGATAGAGAAAAAAAAGATGTGAATTGCGTTAGAGAGAGATCCCCATTACTTCCCCGTAGTAATTTTGGGAATTTTTGCGCTACATCATCACTTTTTCATAGATTTTATTATCTTATTGTTAGAGAAAAGACATATGTGGCAGATTGATAGATTACTATATATATAAAACTCTATTTATTATATCGTACATATGTATATTATAATATAATACTTTACATTAAAAACAACATACTCGATAACTGTTAACATATAATAATAGACTTTTTATTTAAATTTTTGTTTAAATTATTGAGAATACTTTTTATTGTAATTTAATAGAATAATAAAATATATAAGACTTTACCGTAAATCCAAGCGAACATAACATATCCATGATAATTTCCTTGAACGGCAGTAAGAGCAAGAATGCAGAGTCCGCATACAAAGACGGCTGCTTGCGTGAGATATTGGCGGGCTATCCTGCATTCGACGTTGCGATGAACAACCAGAAGCCCGAAAGCTATGCAGCCAAGGGTCCAAGCTAGTCCCAAATAAGCTTGCAGCAAAACGACTGTATCACCAAGACCTTCCTCTTCAACTTGATGCGCCTGATACAAAAAGAGATTATTTATTCCATGTATTCCAAATGGATTGACGAATTTTAATATTAATTATTTTGTATAATTAGGTTGTATAGTTAGAAGATAAATCTGCAATATTGACTTCTATTCAATAATATAGCAAATGATTTCTGATTTTATATAACAATTTAATCTTAAATATTTAAAATTAAAACCAATAAGAGCTAGGTGTACATGTATGATAAGTTTTTCTTTATTTAAATAGCAATAAATGATTCGACTTTTTATTGTGTCTTTTTCGGTATATTTTTCGGTATAATAAATAAATAGAAAATTTTATAAAATGGAATAAAACACTAAATTAATTTGTATCGTTATTCTGTATATTAAGCCATCTATGTATATGTGATTAAGATGATATAATATGCTTAATCATAGATATGAAACAAATAGAATAAAATATTCATATAGAATAAAATTGTTTAAAAATAAAATACAGTCAAAACGTTTGTGATCAAGATATTCAAATTTAAATATTAATACAAATACAGACAATGATCTTATAAAACTTAATATTATCATATTATTTTTAAAACTAACTATTAAAAAACAATATTTTACTTTTGAATTATATTGAAGAATTTCGAGGCAAATTCTCGAAATTAGTTTGTAGGCTTTAATATATATTTTTGTGTCAATGTCTATATTATGAAAAACATATTTAGACATACATCTTGTTATCAAATAAAAATATGTAGGATATAGATAAAATATGCATAGTATCATTACTTCCAAATGTTTTCGTCATAATTACCAGATAAAATATTGGTGTATTGATCCCGAACGCCGAAATACCGGTAGATACGAGAAGAATTCTGACTGTTTTACTTCTCAAAGTACTAAAATCGAAAAATGGTGGTCTACCATCAGCCTTGTTCTTGTCTTTTATCTTGCGTTTTTGATTCTTCAAGTGTAAAATTGCTCTTCGTTGAGGATGATATAACGAAGCACTACGATAAAAAGTACCGAGAATAAAAGTGAGAAAGACCACTCCCGTGACAGCTTGAAGACCAAGTCGCCATCCGATTTTACTGTAATATAAATATCCTTACATGAGTTAACTCATGATTTCTTGATAACTTATTATAATTAGCATTTTCATATTCTCATAATTAATCGTAAAACTTTTTAATAAAGGATGAAATTATATAAAATATTTATCTTTAAAATAATGATATTATGTATTTATATAATTATAAATATTTATAAATTATAATTATAATTTCTAATTATTGTATATTAGTTTATCGCTTGAAAGATAATTTATTAATTCTAAATTGAATATTTAATAAAAAACAAATTACTTATTTATTTTATTTATTTACAATTTCTTTCCCGTTAACCGATTAAAAATATTTTCTGAAATCATATTTTATTGTAAAGCTTAATTAACGTGATAATTATTTGTCGAATTTTGATTCAGTCGTATCACTAAATTCACTTAAAATAAGTTTTTAATGTTAATTATAATTTAAAGTATACGTACGTAATTGCTCCTTTTATGAAAGCAGACATAACTGCTATACCTAAACCACTTCCCGAGACGATAAAAATTTCGACTAATTCTCTCTTTCTCTTGAAATACTGAGCCACCATCAATGTGCTGCAGTCTCGTGTCATTCCAACCCCAATCCCTAGGGTAGAAAATATACCGACTTAATCTTTGTGGCTGTCCTTAATTTGTTCATAGGATCGGATAACAATATCGTTTTTGATGCCGACTATTCCGCGCTTTCGAAATTGTTGTCTGTCGATTCTCGCGAAAGTTCCTCGTCAGAGGGAAAGTTCGGGTGGAAATGGATGGAACTAATACTAGTATTAGTATAACGAATATAGATAGGCGAAAACAAAGAAAGATGACGCGCAACTATACCTAAACCACTTCCTAAAATAATAACCATTTGGTAATATGACACCGCACAAATTGCGACGTACCTTTTTTCCTCGCGATCTTAAGTTCAGATTATCAGATGTCACGATTAAAATGTCATTATTAATTATAATAATATTATTCATTATCTCAATAATTAATAATGTATATGAGCTCAGAAAGAAATAATTCAGATATATCAAGTAAATTAGAAAAAAAAAAGATATTTTATTATCTCATTTATTTATAAATCGAGACTTATATCGAGATTTATAAATCTCAACATTGTCGCATCGCCTATATACTTAAAATAACTTAAAATAATTAGAAGTAACTTATATTTATGAATATATATCGTTACTATCGTAAATGTTTTCCGTAGAATTATATTAAATCTTCCTATTAGAATCATACAATTTTTACTTACCGACCACAGTGCCATAGCTGAAAAACAATTGGTGAAATTGCGTGGCAAAGGAAGTGAAGAGACAGCCAAGAGCGGTAACAAGTCCACCTAGAACTGCTGTTACTCTCGTGCTTTTTCTTCGGCAAAACGCGATAGTCACCGGCGACACGAGCAGGGCGACACCCGTCGACATTGCCCCTAGCCATCCTGTAAAATGGGAAAATATCATATAGACATTTCACAAACTTTGTTTAATCGTATAATACCTGCAGATAAGTTTGTAGAATAGTTCAAGGAATATGATTGGATGGAGATAGGATGGCAATTATAATTATATTCCGTACGAATTTGTTTTTACTAATGCAACATTTTGGATTCTTATCATTACGGGAATATAAATACAGTTTATGCATTTATTTATGTACAATGTGAATTAATCCTGCAAAAAAGTGTCATTATCATATCTTTCTGCACGATATAGGAAGTCTGCTCACGAAGTTGTTATTAACTTTTTACGGAAACACCAGCGGCGTGTCGTTGATCGACGACCCCGAAGGAAATATAACTCTCGCGTATCGCAATCTACCCCGTAATAAAAAAAAGTCAAATCACGCATGGCTATTCCAAAAGAGTTTTGACCTTCGTTACGCGTCGTAGATAACAAGATGCTTCGACTGGCGTCCGTTTCTCATTTCGTCTGGCATATTGTTCTTTGCCGTATTTTTCTATCTCTTGTGATGTGACTATCTATATTTAATTCCGTTATTTGTCTGTTTGTTTAAAAGCAAGCCATCCATTCTCGCGTTTATTTGACGAATGTTGGGCGACGTTTGGCAAAAGACGATAGAGAGCCGCGATTCGCGGTGATGCATTTTCTTTACGGATTTCCGGGCGGCAAGTCGGTAGTAAAATGGATTCGTTTTGCGGTCTGTGTAGTGTCTGGCAATAGAATCCAACAAATCCTTTCCGTAACTGATACTTTACGATCGGAGGATAAGTCACGATTGAGGCAATGTGATGACGGGGTATATTTATTCTCTGTATCGATTGGCTCGTTGTTTTTAGATATCGTTTTACCATTAGTACTTGAGAATAATGTGAAAATAAATATCTTGGAATTGCATTTAATATACATACGTATATTACATAACGTTTTTTTTAAATATTTAGACTTAACTCATTCTCTCTCTCTCTCTCTCTCTCTCTCTCTCTCTATATATATATATATATATATATATATATATATAATATATATATATATAAATAATCTTTTATTATTAATATTTTTTTAATCCATTTGTGCTTCTTTTATTATCTCTTTCGTTCCTATAAATGAGTGAGTCATAATTTTTGTGTAGTATATTCCCAGTCTGCGCGCAAATGGATTAAATATTTAGCGACATCGTATATTTCCTTATCCTTACGATTCATGATATACCGCTGTCTTCTAAGTAAGCTATACCCCAAATACTTGGAGCTAGTTGGAGCCAATAAGCTTTACGCGTTGTCATCCATCGCTTCCTAAATGATTTATGGTAGTCGTGGCATCCAAAGAATTCTCAAGAAACGCATCGACGCGCTAATGAATACGACGTATTTCCATATTCTTGTTACTTCATTCTTCCATTTTTCTTCTGATTCTTGCCAAGTGTTTAGTATGCCTATCCATTAAACCATTAAATCTCATCGATCTCATAAATCACGCCTGACTCTGGGATAAAGTCGCGGACGCTTCTTGCATCTAATTGAACTCTGAAACAGTATCGAAGATCCACGTACAAATAATGAATAAATAGTTTACATTTGTATAAACTATTGTAAGTAATGTAAGTAATGTAAAGAATTTTCTTTAAGAAGAAAAAGTATTTTATCGATATTGATTACATTAGCTTAAAAATTTTTGTAAATATCTTAGATATAATAAATACTTTCATTTCAGAAAATTCATTTCAGAAAAGAAAAAGAAATCAATTTGTTGCACAAATTTTTCTGCTTGCTAACTTTTTTTTAACTTGTTTTTAACTTCTCAAAAGCGTGTTCCACAGTCGATGATTTTTCCTGTACGTTTTATCAGTGGCCCGTGCCACTGTGATCGTTCTTGTTAAGACGCTAATTAATACGACTACTGATAAGTATTAAACGACCTCGATCACGGTTAAGACCGTTTTAATAGCGACACCGGGCTATTAAGCGGACGCGATTAACTCGCCCTCGCGGAGAACCGAGTCGTTTAATTAATTCTCACTGGTCTCATCAATACGCGAGCTCATCGATCGCGACGGATACGTTTTATTACGCGAGTAAGTAACGACCTGACAGTTACGGAGACAAACGGGCGCCGTGCCGGGCGCGAGGAAAAGCAGTTATTAATCTCACTGTAGCTGCGATGGGACGATGGATTAAATATCGCTTGCCAACGGCGTGGTGGCTTATTCGCGTGGGAGCGTCGTTTAAGACGTGTTTTTCGTAAGATCTCTCTTGGTTCTTTCTCCCTCTGAATGCCGACGGAATTCCTGCAACCGTCTTGGGAGTTCCTCCTACGCGAGAGAGTAAATATATTCGGATTTGCCTTGGGGTATACACAGTCTTCTGTTATTATCGTTTAGGATGTTGACGAGGGAGAAAGAATGTGAAAATTTAGGAGAGAGATTTGTATGCAGAGGGTAAGAATCCATCAAATTGAAATGCCTCTCTGGTAACACGATAGAACCTGTAAATCTGTGATATCTTGTAAAATCTGAATATAAAAATGCGACAATAGTATTTCTGTATTGGTTTATCAGATGACGGTTCTACTTCTTCTTAAACAACCTGAAAAATTTCTTAAAAACACAATTTTTTTATACCTCGTATCAATATTTTTATATTGAAATAAACTTTATATTTAAGAATTAAATTCAATTTAATTCTTGCTTTTAATTTATGTTTTTTTTATTTGACATTATTTGTTAGTAACAAATTTTATAAATATTTTCATATCGAAATAAACTTTATATTTAAGAATTAAATTCAATTTAATTCTTGCTTTTAATTTATGTCTTTTTTATTTGACATTATTTGTTAATAACGAATTTTATGATACACGTTCTATGTGTAGAAAATATTCGGAGCAAAACAATTTCTAGTTCGTAAAGTCTAAGAAGAATGTTTACCGCGTAATGCTCCACGCTTCACTACTTCTTTTACTTCTTCTTCCGCTACTTCTCTCGGTCAGATTCAGAATTCTTTATTGAGAATCGCGAGACCGACGGGTATTCTTTCCATCCCCGAGATAGTCTTTGCCGATAGGAGTGGGTAAAACGATAGCGAGAGTGAATTCGCGAGAGCGAGAGCGACTGGCATGAGGGTCAACGACTTGTGGACTAGTCGGGATTTTACTTTGCGACTCTATCTTTGTGAAGGACGAGAAAGCTTATAAGATTCCTAAGAATCCTTTCACCGAGCTCCATAAGAATATAAGTATATATTACTTATACTTGTCTCTTTCAAGTTTTTTCCATAGTTATAGCCATACAGTTGTCAAAGATAAGATTTCTGCGTGATTAAATAGAAATGCATTTTTAATTTCCAAATGGTAAAATGCGATTTTATATAGTTACAGTATATTAAAATATATTATAAATATATTAAATTTAAAATTTAAATTTAAAATATATTAATAAATTTTGTTAAATAAATTCACTGAATTATTAGAAAAAAATAAGTTTTATTTATAACATTTTTAAAAGAGAACAGTGTAATTGTCGTTTTATAAATAATAATTTACAACATAATAAATCTTAATATACAACAATTTAATTTTGCTCTTAAAGTGCAATAATATTTAATATTTATATCAATATTTCAAAAATAATAAATTTAACAAAATATTGCTTAGAATAATATAGATTAATTTTTTTGTAAATATTGTACAATTAGAAATTAAAATAAAATTGATATAATATGATATTTTAAATATGATATAATGCATTTTAATGTATATAGATAAGATACAATAAGATGACAAAAAATTTTTTCTTAAAGTTTTATATATATGAAGGATTAACAAATATATATCTTTTGTCACAATCGGATTAAGCCAATTAGAACACTTTTCGCTCTTTTTTAGGAGGCTTGCCAATCTAATTCTCTTCCTTTTTCCTTGTTTGTCAAAATTTCAGAATATGATTTGACATCGTAGAATTAACGAGATTTATTAAGGTAGCACACGCAAAGATATAAAAAATAAATCGCAGCCAGCAGGTTCGCTTTTATGAGGATGATAATAATCCGCTCGTGATGCAACTCTTGCGAGTAATAATACGAAGCAAGCTCTTAAAGAGGTAACTCGAAAATGCTGCTGGCATTGTGCTTAGAAATATTGGAAACCACTTGAGAATACGACCTTCTTCGTTTCGTTTCTTATTTGACGATAAAATGTATTTTCGTTTCATATTGAAGATAACAACCATTTCAGTATGTATAGTACTTTAAACACGTATATTAAATTTATTTTACCTGTACGTTTCTTAAATATATAGTCGACTAGAAATTGATTAATGAATGATACTTATGTACTATATTTTGTCTCACGAATTCCAAGTTCAAACAATATAGTATTAAATATTAAATATACAATATAGTACTAAGAAATCTGTTTCAAAAGAAAATATAATATACAATAAAAGTCGAAATTGTTATAGGTTTTCGGGGTATCCTATTTTTTATTTTATTATATATAATTATCATTTTTATTTTATTTTGATATTATAATTACAAAAATAATAATTTAAGAAATATAAAGGCATATATTTTATTTATGAAATAAATGAAATTTAAAAATAATCGAGAAGAATTAAGAATTCTTTTACTAAAATATTGATTCCTTTGTTTTTGCGCAAAGCAGATTAATGCGCGAAGCAATTTGAAATATAATTTCTGTAATTGGTGTATTATGCAATAGGTTAAAAATGATTATCTTCTCTAATAAAATTGTACAAAACAGATTGTTAATAACATTTGCATTTTTTTTATTGCATCACGTACCTACGTTGAGAAGAGTCTGACGATATCGCTTTGTCCCATCAAGCAATAACCAAGCCCCGACAGCCCCGTGTATTCCCGTAGCGAGAATTTGCACCATGACACCCGTCACGACGATGACCCAGCCCCAACCATTTTCGGGATAATAATGTTGTCTTATGGTGCAACGCGCAGCATATCTGGCA